ACGGGTTGTGCTCGGGAAAGAAGTAGAAGAAGAACTGAAGATGAAGAATCGGAAAAGAGGAAGAAGTAGAAGAAGAATAAAAAGTAGAATTAAAGGGATTTTGGTATTTGAGGTTTGGTGGAGTCTTTTCCTCTTCCCTTTTAGGTTTTCAAGGCACTAATTGCATGCAATTACTTTGCCATCTGGCAGGCAAGAGTGACATAAATTCTTTTATAATTCTTTTATTTAAGTTAATTTATGATTTAAGTTTTATTTAATTTTAGTTTTCTATTTAACCACTAATTTTATTAATATCTTATTAAATTATAATTTTTTATTTTACTTAATTATTTAAGTTAAAATTTATTTGTACATTAAATAGATTTATAAATATTTTCATCTAGAGTATTTTTAATACATAAAATTGCTATATATAATATTTATTTATTATTTTATTAAGTGCGCCTCACTTCACTCAGGCGACGCCTTTTTATCGCCTCTCGCCTTAAGGCGATAATGAGGCTCGTCGCCTTGAGGTGCGCCTTGCGCCTTGAAAACACTGTTCTGAACTTGACTCCACAAAAAAGAATGTTTTACTTGATTCCGCTATCCATCACCCAAGTATGTTGAATTGTTGGAGAAGGAACTGCCAACACTTTTATGCATATGGACAACGGAAAAAAACATGGTTCTGATCATTGAAAGCGTTCATACATGAAATACAAATAGAAGGTAGTAACATCATGAAAAGCACCTTTCTTTGAAGTTTGTCTGCTATGTTTAGACCTCTCTTTTGCTAAACCCAAACCATAATATTAACCTTCCTTGGAATTTTTGGTCTTTCAATAATCTCTAATTAAAGCTTTAGATATCATAGGAACGTCACTGAGAGCTTTTGCCAACGAATAACCTGAGAATTTTCCAGATTTATGGCTTTTTTGGTAAGATTGAATATCATCAAAAGGAGCCGAACTACCTAAGGCCAGGGATTTCTTCTTTTATTTTAGTGAACAAGAAACAAACTTTTCATTAAAAGTATGAAAAGGAAGAATAATGTTCAAGGATACAAGTTTCCCAAAGGAAGCGAAAAGAAAAGTAAAAAGTAAACACCAAGAGGCAGAGAACCAAATACAGAGACCAGCAACAGGCTATCGAAAAACATTCATCGATTGGGTGGATCTATATGCTTCGGAGGGGTGAGACGAGGTGTAGCGGAGTCTGGTCAGCACATCTGTTTTGGGTACAAAGGGCCATAGGTTCGAATCTTGTCACATTGATGTGGTATTCTCAGGGCCGAAGTGCAAAGTCTCATAGCCTATTTGTGGTCAGGAAGACAGTCGAACTGCGCACACTGAAAAAAAAAAGATCTCTATTTTTTCTAATCACACGTAGAATTGTCATTCTTTTTTCTTTTGAAACCCCTGAGAGACAAAACCAAAAAAATAATATAATAGAAGAGGCCTTGAAAGCTTCCCTCTACAAAATAATCTAGAATGAAGAAGAATGCCTGCCGAAAGAAACCAAAACAACCTTCAAGCCGTAGATTGAGAGGCTTCAAGCCACCAGAAACAATGAACACCACTGGCTAGGACTTTCCGAAACTAGAACCAATGAAGCACGAAAACCATTGCACCAAATAAGCTTCTTGACAAAGCGTGCTTAAAAACTTGAATCTTCCACTTTTGGGAAACAAACTTGACCTAAGGTCAGGGAACTTAGTTCTTCCCCTTGGTTCCTCCAATGCATCCCATGATCTATGTTATCCATTTTGCCCCAAAACTTTTCTTCTGTAAAATTTCCTCTTAAGAATTCCAAATATACATTAAGAAAAGCTTTTTCGAGGTATGGTTAACTGTTAAGTATCCACCCCTTTTCCTTTCTTGCTCTATAATCTTGTACACTGCTTCATTGGGTCTGATGTAACCATATCGGTTGTTATTAGTTGTTTTCTTAGTTTGTCTGGTTAGTTAGTTATTTTTAATTTGTTTTCTGTTTCAGCATTTAAATTTCAATTTGGATACAAACCTACCCACCTATTTATAATAAGAAAATTCATAATCATGATAGGAATAGAAAATCTAAATCAAATAATATAATTCCTAATCATAATCTAAATCAAATAATATAATTCCTAATCATAATCTAATTCAAATAATATTTAATAATATTATCTACCAAATAAAACCTAAATCATAATTGGAAACCCAACACTAATATTATTCAGATCATGTCAAATCATATCAAATCACAACACCCCCCTTAAGTGGGAGCATGCAAGTCATAAATGCCACACTTGCAAAGAAGAAAATCAAATCGCTTGCAAGTTATTACACGAGCATAATGGCGACCCCAAACTCATTTTTCTAGCACGGGAAACGACGAACTCGTTTTTCTGGCACGAGAGACCACAAACTCGCTTTTCTGGCATGAGAGATGACAAATAGCACCGACATGTGCAGACGGCAAACTTCTTTAAAATCGGAAACTCTCAATTTGTTCTAAAAATTCCAATGAAATCTCTTTCGGGCGAACACGAAACAGCGGCCACGAACTTTAGTTGAAAATCTCTGATGGCCTTAGGAAAATACTTAAAGTTCTGATGGGTTGGATAAATTTAATTCAAAAATGGATATCTCTCAACAGAAATCTTTATTGGCATCATCCCAAGAAGGAAAGTGGCAGGGAGTTGAGGATTTTAGAACCATTCAGTCCTATCACTAGTCTTTATAAGATGGTTGCTAAAGTTTTGGGTGAAATATTCAGGAAAGTCCTCCCAAATGCTATCCTACAACTTAGGAGCCTTTGTTGATGGGAAGCAAAACTGGATGAAGGCCTCCTTATTGTGAGTGAAGCAATTCAAGATTAAAAGGATCACAAGCAGGAGGGTTTTATATATAAGATAACATCAAGAAAGCCTATGATCATCTTGGTTTGGGTGTTTCTGGACAATCTTTTGTAGAAGAAGGGCTTTGGGTGCAAATAGAGATCTTGGATGTGGAGTTTTCTTTGAATTGAAAATTTCTCCATTTTGATCCATCACCTAGGGGAGAATCTATGCCACGGGGGTGTGAAACAAGGTTATCTCTTATCCTCTTTTCTCTTCCTTGTGGTAGTTAATGTTTTCAGCAAGATGGCGTCTCTTGGGTGTAAAAGGGTTTGGTTGAGGGCTTTCATGTGGGCAGAGAGAGAGAGTTTATCTGTCCTATATGCAGTTTTCCAATGACACAATTTCCTTATGTTCAAGCATAGAGGATTCTTTTGTTAATCTTAATCTGATTTACAGTGCTTGAGAGTGCTTAAGGTTAATAGGTTTATGAGTTCTTTGAGTGGTATGAACTAGGAGGCTTCTAAAACGAGGGATGGGTTTCCTTAAGTTAAATCTTTGATTTGGCATTTCTTCCCATTTCAATATTAATAGTTCTTGTTTCCAGCTTTCTTAATCAAAATGAAGAGCACATTGAGGAGAGAAAGTTAATTTGTTTGATAACATAAGCCTAACCTAAAGCTTAAACTTTTGAAAATGGCACTGATTTTGTAGCATAGTGTTTAGCTTTAGACTGATGAGTGTTTGCAAACTTGGACGAAATAGTGTGAAGCACCAGAAAGTGCAGAGTGGCTTCTTCATAGTGTAGACCATCTAATCGTTGGCTTAGCTAATTGTTGGTTTCTTAATTTTCTTTTAAAATATCGTCTGTTGTTGTACTAATTTAAATTGTCAATTGTGGATACAACATTAATCAACCATATTACTTTTGTCAGGAGCATCTTAGAAGGATACTTAGAGGTCAAGCCTCTCTGTTTGACTGGTCGAAATCGACTTCTTTAGCAAGGACGTTATCCCCCAGAGTCTTGGAGAGTCAAATTGATGCTAAGAAGGTAATTTATTTCTTTGAAGTTTGGGCTGAGCCACCAAACCTCACATAACGCAGTGTATATTTGTGATTAACATTTAATTTGCTAGCAACGTCTTCTCTTTACCGACAACCTTTTTGTTGGTCCCATCTCCATCACGTTGGGAAAAAAATTTGAGGTAGGGTTTAGGCTGTTTCTTCTGATGAGAATGTTTTTTCTAATGTAATTGGCAGGGTAGATATAATGAGTTCTTTATGGTGCATCTGTACCCTGGTTATGTTTAAGCTAATGATTATATTATGATGATTAACTAATAACACATTACTAGCCATATGTATTTCCCATGAAATGAAGGGGTTTCTGTCTATTTACTGTGCAGGATCTGGAGAAAAACTTGAAAGCGACTTGTGAGGAGTTTATTATGTCTGTCACTAAGCTAGTGGTAGATCCTATGCTCTCATTCGTGACCAAGGTTTGTCATTTTTCCTGATTGCTGAAATTTCACCTAGCTGATGGTTTAGGTTGGACCTCTGGATTGATGCTGAACCTTTAAGATAATTGACACAAGGGCATAGGACTCTTGGGATTGAAGGATATGAATGATATTAATATGTGTTTTTAAAGGGGTTTTCTTTTTTATTTTCTTTCATCCTTTTCCAGTTTCCTTAATGTGTATGCTTAACGAGGTAAGAAATAGTCAGATTGAATGAAGAATGTTTAAATAAATGGAAGGGGAAATGGCCCTACCCAACGTTTAAATCAGAAATAGGGAAAATGACAATTCTTTGGTACTGAAAGACAGAAAGATGTCTGGCATTCATTCTCAAGCTCTTCAAATCTCCCTTCTTAATCCTTAAAAAATCTCTTACTCCTAAATTTTAACCAAATAATTGGAGGTTAGGGGCCGGGTGTACCAATTTTGGGAAAACCTACTTAGCCTTTGGTTTGGGCTGAAAAAGGGATGTGTGCTACTAGTGCACAACAGATTTTTAGCTTTTGACTTACTGCCTTATCATGGTTTAAACCAGGAAGCACATACACATAAAAAATGATTAAGTGTGAGTGTCGGATATTGATATGCTAATTAGAGTGTCTTTTATTATTTTTTTTATTGGACACATGGGCGACACGACGGGGACACGAGTGACACGACATTAAGAGATCAAAAAAAAATCCACCAGCACCATGTTGCGTCATTTCTCACCATTTAGTGCCATCACTATAAAACATGGTAAGTGCCCCATTAACATGTGCATCAAACCCACCATGGGTAATAGACGAAGAAAGGGAGGAAAAGGAAGAGTCACTGAAAAATAGCCGGAAGATGAACAGTCAGAAAATGAAAAAGAATTAGGAGAGTCGAAAAATGAAGATGAAGAGGAAAATATTTGGAAGAAGAAGAGACAGAGAAGAAGAATAAAAGGAATAAAGAAGAAAAGTCGGAAAACTAAAGACTAAAAACTGAAGACAAAATCTTACATTTTCTAGAAACATTAAAGTAGAAAAAGAATTGAAATAGGATTGAAGAAGAGTGAGATGGGAAGAAGAAAAAAAGACGGAATAAAAAGGGAGGAAGAAGAAAAGACATAATAAGAAGATTTAAAGACAGATGGGAGGAAGAAGAAAAGACAAATTCTTACAATTTCTAGGAGCATTAAATGACTGCATGTTATCAAACTGTCATTGCATGATATCAAATTTCCAGATGCAGCATTCCTCCAATTTCAAAACTTATATGTGTTGTGTAATATTTAGTCAGGCCACTATTTTTTTCCATATCTTGTTTCTCATTTAAAAAAAAATTGCCATATCTAAAATATTTCTATTTCTATCTTTTCCCTGATTTTTTTAAGTTCATTTTTTTTAAGTATCAAATAATTTTGTTAATATTTCCATGTTTTAAAAATTAAAGTTAATTTTTTAAAATTTATGATGGCTATAAATAATTTTATTTTATTTTATTAATTGCACCTCGCTACACTTAGGCAATGCCTTTTTGTCGCCTTGCGGCTTGAGGTGATTTAGAATCTCGTTGTCTTAGAGTGTGACTTGCGCTTTGAAAATATTGACTAGTCCCAGCCCAACTCACTAGGATTTTTTTTCTCTTTCTGCTCCTCACCCATATGATGGTTCTCATATGGATGTTATGTATTTATGTTGATGTTTAAAGGTAAAAATCTACTTTAAAAGCATTAAACATTGATTATGCATCAAATTATGCACACACATATATATTTTTTTATTAAAAAAAATAATGTACCCAGCATGTCGTGTCCTACTTTTTAAAAATTGTCGCATTTTCATGTCCACATTGTGTCGTATTTGTGGCTCGTGTCTGTGTTTATGTTTCTGCTTCTTAGATTAAAACCAGTTTGGTTGTTTTCTCCTTTTTTTTTCTCTTTTCTTCTCCCTCTCTCTTTTTTTCTTCTATAGTAGTAGGGTGTGGTGTGTTCTTTCATAGTTACTTGTTCATATAATATTATCTATTTGAATGTTGAAATCAATTGGTGTAGAATTACTATGTTCAGCTATCTTCCAAGAGGTTTAGTTACTTGAAAATTCAATTTTGAAAGTCAAAATCTGTCTCAAATGAGTCGAGTCTTCTTTATGTTCTATTTAGATATGGGATCTATCAAAGTTATATTTATGACAATATTGTTAGTTTGTTCTTTTTAGGTAACTGCTGTCAAAGTGGCATTATCTTCCAGCAATCAGAACCGGGTTTTGGAGAAACCACTAAGGAATCAAGCTTTTGCAACTCAAGATAAGGTTGCCGAATTAGTTCAAAAGGTATGTCATAGGTATCTTTACTGATTCAACACTCCAAGAGGAGATTACAACCTAATCACGAGGCCAATTCGAGAGGGCCAAACCTCTCCTACCATCCTAACAACTTATAACTTATCCACAAAACACACAGCAACTGCCTAACTAACAAAATCTGCGATAACTAGTCTAGGCAGCTACATGACATTTTCCATTTTTGCCTGCCCCTTTTACTTATACCATGAGTATTCAGGCCAGCTTATATGTATCTTGACTATTCTCGAGTGAGGGACCCCTATGACAACTGGGGGTCTGAACGTTGAGTGAAAGCCAATGCGTTTTCCGAAGGGGGTTTTGAAAAAAAAGCCAACTCGGTAATGTGTATTGATTTTCGCTGGAGAATCCACCAACCGACAAATCCGTAGCCCAGGTGACTCACAGCCTCCCTCTCACCGAAATGAAATAGGAAAGTTTGAGCTAAAAGATTGAATTACACCGGGTAAGAAAGGTGGGCAGAAACAGGAAAAGTTTGAAGATGATATGGACCCCCCAAGTCAAAGCGCAAATCTGGCTCGCCGCAAGAACTTTGGGCGGGTATATCTAGTAGAGCGCGAGCTAGAAGGATCTTTCGAGAAATACCTGATTGAGGGTTAGTTGGATTCCGTTTATGGCGTGAGGTTCAGTTCCTTATCTAGAAGCCCTAAAGAAGAAAGACCATCTATTTACTCAAGAGGTAGTGGAGGCCAACTAGCAATTCTAGAAAATGAGTTACGTCCAACCATTCCATTTAGGATTATGAATAGGCGTAATTGGACCCGAGATGAGTTCTTGCCATTCCGTTTCATTATAATTAGGTATTAGTGGGAACATTGCTGTTTCTTCGGTGACTCTCAACGAGATTGGAAAAGCAAGAAAGAGACGGTGGTTGCTCGCTCACGGAGAAGATCACAAGACCCTGCAACATATAGCTATCAATCAATACACGAAAATTTCTATCATAGGTAGGTGGTGCCCTAAGGCTAAACTCCACCTAAGAAATTTTTGCTTTATGCAGCACTAAAGACCTATCCTTAGTCAGCTTACTCTCTCACTCACACAAACACGAACGAAGCAAGCACAAGGCACATGAGGTAAAGGGGAAGCTCTCTCGTTTCCTATCTAACTTCAATATGTTTCAAGTAAGATCATAATGTGTCTATGATGCATTGGTAGATACTTGTTGTTGATGGTCACTTTGTTTAAGCCTTCGTAGTCTTCACACATCTGCATAGAACCGTATTACTTTCTCTAGAACAAAACTGGGGCACCGTATGGAGATTTAGACGGTTGTATCAAACTTAGTTCTAGTAGATCATCTATCTACTTCTGCAGCTCACATTGTTGTAGTGGAGACATTCTTAATGGTGCTTTAGATAGGAGTTTGGCTCTAAGCTCAAGCTCAATCTTATGGTCGATGGCTCTATAAGGAGTAAGAGTCCTTGGCAACTCTAGAGCCGTTATATTAACATAGTCTCCAACAGTGTTTTAACAAGTCCCCCTGATGCACGCGCCTAGGTGCTAGACACAACTCCAGCGCCTCAAATGAAGCCCTGAGGCGCAAAGTACAGCGCCTTAGGAACCTCTTTGATAATTAAAAGAAATGAAACCTATACCCTAAAATGCAAAAGTCCTTGCATTTTAGACTTTTCTTTATCCCCAGCAGTGCATCCTTTTATCTCACCCATTTACCGACTGTCTCTTCTTTTTCTCCATGTTTATTCTTCTCCTCCCTCACATGTTTCATCTCATTCGTCGAATCTCTCTCTCATCAGTAAAAGAGGAAGAAGAATAGTTGGAGGAAAGGCGGAAGGAAGAGAAGAATAAAAGTTGGAAGAGAGAAAAAATGGTCGAGGAAAGGCAGAAGGAAAGAAGAGAAGTTTGAAGACAAAGCATCATTAAAGAAGCTTTCATTTTGTTCACAAAAGAAGCTGCATGGTAGTTAAATTATCACATGGCAGTATTTCTCTTCGGATAGATACACGTGTTTACTTTTTTGCCAGAGTATTTCTCTCTATTGTTTTAAATTCGAGTATCTCTGATTTTTTACTTTCATTAATTATTTAAGTTAGTTTTTAGTTGAATATTGTATGATTTATTGATATTTTCACATTTTAAAAATTGAGTATTTATTTTTTACCTATAACTTGTAATGCAGTCTTGCACAAAGGGTTTTTGAATACTTGAATCTGATTCTATTAAATGGATAAACCTCTATTATAACAAACTAACAGTAACTACAAAGTTACTGTGAAAGAGAATTAAAAGAAACATAACCTACGCATACAAGGATACTAAAGCTACAACTTTAAAGGCTTTTAATACTACATCAATTTCCCCGACCCAAACAAAACAACTCGCCCTCAAGTTATTGAGCTAAAGAGAAGTCATCCAGCGCATGATTGGAATAGATGTCTACCCAGTGTTTTCAAGGCGCGCCCAGGCGCTCGCCTAAGGCGAGGGGCGAGGCGTTTTGGTCTGGGCGCGCCTTGAATGGCGTCGAGGCGAGCGCCTTCAATCGGGTGCTCGCCTTTGTGCACCTTGCTGCGCCTTGGCGCCGTTGCCATAAGGTGAGGCGAGCGCCTCTTAGAAGCAAGACGACTCTTTTTTTTTTTGTTATAATGTTAAAAACTCATGAAAGAACCCCTAAAAAGATGAAAACCTACACCCAAAGATTCAAATGCCCACACCCGAAAACCTTCCTCCTTCGCTACTACTGCTTCATCCTTCACTGCCACCACCGCCACTGCCTTTGCTTGGTCATTGCAGGATTATGAAGTCATCTCCTTCTTTGTAGACAGCCAAAAGATCTAGTCTCACTCACCTATGAACGGGTTGTGCTCGGGAAAGAAGTAGAAGAAGAAC